ATAAAAAATCAACTTATCACTTTCTTCTCCCAAACTCTAGAGCGAGCGTGATTTCATAATTTTCTTACAAGCTGAACGAACGTTGCTAATTGCGCCTGGAAGTTTAATACCGGTATTAGACTAACCCAATATCAGTATTTCGGTACTTTAAAAAGTCCGGTAACTGTAGTGCATCCAATACCGGTATTTCGGTATCGGTACTACCGGTATTGGATGCACTACAGTTCTATTATTGTCTTTCAAAGTAAAGTTTTTGAGCTTTTTGCTCGGATTTTTTGCCGAATTTCATAAATTTACATTCCTCGATATTAAAGGACATCTACCATAGCTTGGACCAGTCTATGAGGGCATCAAGATTATTTTGAACTGATATGATATCCAAATTGTTTTTAATAATTGCAACAAGCTGGCTATTATCTGCATAAAGCTTACGAAAAATTCTTAGCTATCTCTGGCATATTAATTATGCATATCAAAACAATATTGGACCAAGAACTGATCCTTGTTGTACTCTACTTATTCCTTTTGTCCAATAAGAATATACACATTAGTACCCATACCCATTATATATGCTTAAATTATATTTTTGGAAAAAAATTTTCTTAAACAGAAGTAAAATAGTTTATTTTTTTTATTTAAATTTTTTATAATTTAATTTTTGGTTTAATGTTTGCAATAATCACTGGTTTAATTTTTGCAATAGAATGTACTTTGGCTTGCACTATGTTCTAATTCTGATATAATTACTATAGCTAGATATACCTTTAACTTTCAGGAATAACACTTGCTATGCCACTGGGTATTACAGACACTGCCACAATTAAATTTATACTTATTGAACATTCAAAATTTTAAAATTTTTTTAATTTTTTTTTTTTTTTTATAAATTTCAAATTTTAATTGCAAAAATATTTGAATAACAGAATTTTAGAAGACTTTTTTTTAGAAGAATTCTTTTGTTCATTTTTTTGATTTCTTTTTTAAAAAATTTCGTAACACAACTTAAGTATTTATGGAAAATGTTTAATCTTGATATCGCTAATCTTAATAAATTTTAAAGATTAAGGCCTAAAGATTAATGCTTCTCTGAATAATTATTTTTATGAATTTTTAATATCAAGTTGGACCGCCTTTAGCTTTTATGACATCTGCAAGTCAACATGGCATCAGTTCAACTAATTTCTTTGTCGTATCTGAGTAGATGTCAGCCCAAGCTTCTTGGAGCATGATCTTTAGTTCTTCTTTTCCTTTTAGACATTGTGTGGCACAGTTTTTATCCAGAATAGCCCAAAGATGTTCAATTGGATTGAGATCTGGACTTTGGGCTGATCATTTAAGTAACTCAATTTGCTTTTGGATAAAAAACTCTTTTGCTTTCTTCGACGTTTGTTTAAGGTCATTGTCTTGTTGGAATATAAAATGTTTTCCTAATCGCAGCTTTTTAGTTAAAGCCAGAAGATTTTTATTGAGAATGTTAACATAAACTTCAGAGTCCATAATTACATCAATAAACTCCAGTTTTCCTGTTCTGTTCCAAGCCATCAATCCCCATACCATAACATTACCTCCACTAAATTTTACTGTGCCTCGAATACAACTGAGTTTGATTGCTTCACCTTTTTTTCTTCATACTTTTTGAGTTCCATCGGACTTCACAAGATTAAATTTGACTACTCCGTCCTCAAAACCTTCTTTATTAATGATACCGGCATATATACATATTTTTTAGCAAGTCTTTGTTTTTGATGGATTATAGAAAGAAATAGTTTCTTGTGTGGAACTCTTGCTTTGAATCCACTTTCTTTCAATCGATTTAAAATAGTACATGAGTTCACTTGTAACCCAAAATCTTTCTGAAGCAGGCTTGACACTTTTGGTGCTGATAAAAAGCGGATTGATCTATTCTTGATGTTGTTTTATGCTTAGCTCCGGATCTTGGCTGATTTTGCACATATCCAAACAAAATTATACTTTTTAATCAGATCACTGATGGTTTCTAATACCATTTCAGTGGCTTTATTTATTGAACTAAATGTTTTACCTTGCTTGAACAAATCAATATCTAAATTGCATTGAGCTTGGGGCCATTCCTTGATTTTAACTTCCATACTTGATGATGTCAATGATAAATCCAACAAATTTAAAAAAATATCAGTCAATTATTAAAAATTACTCATTGTAAAACAATAATATTTCTAAAACTATTGATTTAAAGACTTTTTTTAATAATCAATTTTAAAACTTTGTTTACAAAACAACATGTTTGGATAATTATTTTTTGTTGAAGTTTTTAACACTCCTTCGGGAATTGTTAAATTTTAGCAATGCAAGTTAATTATTGTTGATTAATTTTTTGCTATATAAAATTATGATTAAATTTGCTTTTAGAATAATTATAAAAGTATTTATCAAAAACATATGTTTTTTTTAAATAACCTGACAAAGTTTATTTTTCACTATAAAATATTTTGTTCGGATACTTATTTCTCTGACCGGATACTTATTTCTCTGACTGTATAAATAAAAACATTTGTATGGCTAACTTTTATGAATCTTTGAGTATATTAAATTAATATAGTTGATAAGTTAATATTTGAGTAACTGTTAAGTTACTTCAGTAACTTAATTGGTTGTTTTGATTTAATTTATAAGTAAATTTAATATAAAGTACTTTATTCATTCAGTAAATTAAAGTAAATAAAACTTTAAAAAGTTGAAGCTGGTTAAAGTTAAAGTTATTAAAGTTAAAGGGTCATTAAAGTGAAAAACATTGAAGCAAAAAAATTACTGGTTTTTATTAGCATCGATTAACTATTAGAAAATAATTTAAATAAAAATGAATTTAATATATATTTTAATATATTTAAAGTAGTAAAATTAACAATATAAAACTGTTGACAAAATAATAATTCAAATTAATAATGACAAAATATTTTGGTGCAATGTTTTAGAAACAAAGACAAAAACCAGGCTGTTTTGTTAAAAAAAAGAATGAAGAAAAAATTTAAAGTAAATTAAATTAAAAAGTGCTTTACGTTGAATGAAAATCTCTGCGCAAAAGAGCAAATGATAATGCTTCTATTCAAAAGATAAATTTAGTGCTGTACTCTACGAACTCTAATGAACTTAGACAAAAACATTACTTATAAGAATTGCCAAGAAAAATGCTTAATCAGAAAAATGACAAAAAAAAAATTTAATCACAAAGGAAAAACTAATCACGAAGGTGTGAAAAGCAATCACAATATGCTTAATTCGAGCCCTGTATATATATATATATATATATATATATATATATATATATATATATATATATATATATATATATATATATATATATATATATATATATATATATATATATATATATATATATATATATATATATATATATATATATATATATATATATATATATATATATATATATATATATATATATATATATATATATATATATATATATATATATATATATATATATATATATATATATATATATATATATATATATATATATATATATATATATATATATATATATATATATATATATATATATATATATATATATATATATATATATATTATATATATATATATATATATATATATATATATATATATATATATTATATATATAATATATATATATATATATATATATATATATATATATATTATATATATATATATATATATATATATATATATATATATATATATTATATATATATATTTATATATATATATATATATATATATATATATATATATATATATATATATATATATATATATATATATATATATATATATATATATATATATATATATATATATATATATATATATATATATATATATATATATATATATATATATATATATATATATATATATATATATATATATATATATAATATATATATATATATATATATATATATATATATATATATATATATATATATATATATATATATATATATATATATATATATATATATATATATATATATATATATATATATATATATATATATATATATATATATATATATATATATATATATATATATATATATATATATATATATATATATATATATATATATATATATATATATATATATATATATATATATATATATATATATATATATATATATATATATATATATATATATATATATATATATATATATATATATATATATATATATATATATATATATATATATATATATATATATATATATATATATATATATATATATATATATATATATATATATATATATAATATATATATATATATATATATATATATCAAAACCACTCATAAATTTACCTTCGACAAATGGTATTTGCTATAACAAAATAAACATCTTAAACACACAAAGTACAAAACAAAAAGTACAGAACACAAAGAACAAAACACAAAGTACAAAATAGCAAACATGTAAAAGAACAAAGATCTTCAGTAATTGTTTTTATTGTGATAATATATTAGGTTTTCAAGTACCTCCTACCTTACCTCCCACCCGTAACCTCCTCCCTTTAACCTCCTACCCTTAACCTCTTACACTTAACCTCATACCCTTACCAAAATTAATAGTTTTAGATTAAATTTTTTAACCTCTGCCTGGCCACAGCTAAGGAGCCTCCCTGGCCTCAGCTAAGAAGCCAGCTAAGGAGCCTGGCCACAGCTAAGAAGCCTCGCCTGGCCTAATAAAAGATCAGTTTAACCAGGACAATTTATTATTAAATAGTAAAACTTTTATTAATTTGTTTTTAATAAAACATTAACATTAATTTTTACTAATTAATAGCAAAATCTTTTATTAGTTTATTATTTTTAATAAATGCTTCTTTTAAACACATCTAAAACAAAGTTATAATTTAAAGACAACAACAAAAAAAGAACAATGACAAAAAATTTTGAATTTGTTTTTATAACAATAAAAATATTTTTAAATTTGCTAGTGTAAACCAACCTCGCTTTTTTTCCTATGTCTGAAAGTATCTCTAAAAAAAAAGAAATTAAATTTATGAATGTACAATTTTTTTAAAACAAACTTTTTTTTAAAATTAAATTTTCGAAAAAAGAGAAATAAGGGATTTAAAGCAAAGACATACAATTTCATAACTGGATGTCTGGATGACAGGATGCAGTATTAAAAGTTGAAGCTTGATTTATAAAGAAACAAATGAAAATATGTAAATAAAAAATGAAGGGGTTTGGAGAAAAAGTACCTAAACTACAAAATAATTGTTTTGAAAAAATATAATTTTATCAGACATATACACAGTTTAAAAATTTAAGGTTTGAGTGTACTATACTTGAAGTACCCAAAAAAAGTTAATAAAAATATTAATATGGTTGTCTGGTAGTGATTTACCAATTGAAAATTTTCGGCCGATTCTGATACCAATACTGATAGACAGAAAAGGTTGATAAGTCAATTCTGAATAATTAACAGATTATAAGGATAACTAATAATATAAAACTAAATATTACAGATCAGATACAAGATCATTATGATCATCCAGCTGCTGGTAACATGTAATCAAGTATAACGTGCCAGATGTCTTGCTGCCCTGTAACTCTGATTTTAAGGTTCTTGATTGAGTTTAGGCTAGATTGGTGTCTTGATTAAAATATTTACCTTTTGCATATGGTAGCATCCGGCTACTGCCTTGATAAAAAATTTATGTAGGACAGGCTTCCACTCCCTTTTTTATTAATAGGCTGTTATAGATTTAAACCAAAGTTACATTGTTTCTTGCTTTAGATGATGAATGCTGGATTATCTTCACTCCTATTTTACTTCTCTTTTGTATTAATGATCATCCCAATAATCTTACCCCTAAAGTAGCTTTACTTGATAGATGAGACAACCATATACTCTGGTCAAAAAAGCTATGATTTTGATTGCTTAGAAAAAAAAAATCTTGAATGTCATTTGTTTTTTAAGACAGCATGGTGTTCTCATTATCTTACTCCTTATGATGCTACCGTTCTCTTACATTTCATTCTATTTTATAGCTTTATAAATCTCTTATTTATTCTTATATGGAATACTGTTGTTGTGTTTGGGCTGGTCCTGCTCTATCTCAAAAGCTTTGCAACTGTCCCATTTATCATATGGTTGCATCATTTTCTATTTTTTACAACTACTACCATGGTCACTGCTCAAGCATTGTATATCTCTTACATATATCTTGTTCAATTTAAAAAAATCAATTTCTTCCAACACAAAACTCTTGTTCTACCTAAACTCAATCTCACATTCTACCTAAACTCAATCAGCAAAGTCGATCTTAAATTGCTTTTGCCTTAACTTTTATAATCTCTTGTAGACAAGTTTCATTAGAATAATCAAAAAATGTACTTAAAAAGATCCTTTTACTGTAACTGTTCCACCGTGCTCAAAAAAGTTTTATAAAACTAGTTTTTTACCTTAAATACAATACTTTAGAAGTCTGTTTTTATGTTTTACTTACTTATTCTTTAACTTTCTCCTTTACTTTTATTTAACTACCAACTTACATAATATTGATTGCAGTCATTTTGGAAGTAAATTTGTTAAAAAATATTAAACATTTGGAAGTGAAAATGTTTAAAAATTTTAAACATTTTCCCTTCCAGCAAGGCTACAAGCAACCATTATTAGAGTTGCAAGTTACTGGAAGAGAAAAGATGAAGTTTATAGAGCAAAATAATGATTAACAGACAACTTAAAAGATTTCAAATTATATAAATCAGGATAACAAAACTTGTTCTATATATAGTTGTTTTATTTTAATAATTTTTAATAATTTTTAGTGGTAGAAAATAAAAATCTTTAAAATTTTTGTTTTGAGTTAAAAACTAATTATTAAAACTAATTAAAATATTGAACTAATGTTCAATATTTTATAACTTCTAATTGTAAATTTGTAAACTTCTATAAAAAAAACAGGTACAAGCTTATTTAATTTTTTTCTTTATTAAATTTTTATTAAATTTTTTTCTAGACCATCCACAGCTTATTAAGAACTTTGCCCTGTTAACTAATTTTAAAGAAAATAAAAGTTTAAATGTAAAATCTTTTTTGCTATAAAAAACAAAGCTGTCTCATAAATGTGTTTTAAACACAAAAATTTAACAAATTACTGAAGCACAATAATAACATAAGTCTTTTGTGACAATACAGCAAAAAAATTTTCTGCTGTATTGAAGTTTATAGAAATTTTAAACTTTTTAATTATCTTTATATATGCCATGTATACATTATCTTTAGAACTTTAAAAATGTTTTACTTTGCTGTTTAGAAAATTGGAAAAGTACTAATCTAACAATTTTTAACATTTTTAACTTAAAAAAAAAAAGTGCTGCAACTCTTTCTCCCCATTAACTCAGGTGTAATGGCTGCGTATGTTCCATGTCAAACACTCACGAAAGATTAATAGCAGCATTTAATACAATATTAGTATAAAACAGATTTTAAAAAAAACAATCAGCAGGTAATTAAAAAAATAAGTTATATTTTAACACATAAGTGATATTTAAGTTAAGGATAAGTAAAATTAGAAGTAAAATAATCGATTTCGTTAATCTGAATGAAAACTGAAATTAGATATTATTTGAAGAATGAAAAATGAAATATAATTGAATATCAACATCAGAAACAAAAATAGAATTTAAATTATTTATTATTACTGAATGAAAATTATTGAATTCAAAAGTAAAATTTAACAAACAAAAAAATTTTATGAGAATTTATTTACACTTCCTTTATTGTTGTTACACATGTCTGACCACCAATCTGGTCACATGCTCTTTGGCTTGTTTGTCATGTTTTTATAACAAAAGATTAAATGTATTGTTGGCGTAAAAGTCAAACTCTTACGCCAACAATAGAATTCATCTTTTGATAAAAAAAAAATGTAAATATTTCAAGACACTAAAGAGTTGATGAAATGAATGAGATAATGAAAACATTATTAGAGATAAGAGTTTTTATGAAACTAAACAAGAATATGTGATTGAAATTCAAGCGTATATTTTCTTACAGTTTCAAAAAAAATTTCATCTCAATCATTGTTTGATTATTTATATTGTACCGTATTATGTTAAGAAATTGCCTAAATATTTTTGTCTTGAAACTTTGATACTTAATAAGGTAAAAAAAAACTAGTTCAATAATACCAAGTGCTAAGTAGTCATCAAGTTTTATTTGGACCTTATTTCACCTATGATGTGGTATTGGTATTGGCTTATCGTATATATGGTAATATTATTTGCTTTATGTAATGAGCGCATAAAGGTTTTAGTTTAAGCCTCAAAAACTTCAGAAGTTGAATAATGCAAAATGGTTTTTATTTTTTTTAGCTGTGTTTTCTATTTCACAAGATAACTTTTTGCTTTTTATTAATAGTTGTTTTGAAATGTTTTTAAGGTATATACATCATGTAAAAAATTCCAGAAAAAACTTGATAGAAGTGAAATATTAACTGAATTAGGAAATGAAATAAGAAGTAGAATTGTTCACCACAATCAACACCACAAGAACTAAATAGAAACTGAAATTTATTAAAAATTATATTTCGAACTTAAATATCACTGCATTGTATGCGGGACACATACAAGTATGTTTTATGATGATTGATGCTTGATGGCACGACACGTACTAGCACATTTTTTGAAGGTTAAGCTTGTCCCATAATTGTATTGGTTAGTGGCTCAACATGGTTTGTTTTTTCTGTATTTCTATATTTCATCCGTATTTTAGTGTTTAAAAAAATTCAGGATTACCTATGAAAAACAATAATTTTTAATATTTAAAATAGCCACCCTTGACTTTAGAAAATATTTTCACATGGGCATTGACTCTGATAATTTTATGCATAGTTATTTTGGAATTGAGTTTCAAGTGTTTTTAAGAATTTCTTTAACTGCGTTTTGTTTGTAATTTTAACGCTGCACATATCCAATTTGCATTAGCTGTACACAAAAGAGAGTGTCATATTTACCACCTTTCAACCTTTTCATGTGTACTCATGATTTACAATCAAATTTTTGAAAATTATTTTCATCGCTGAAAATAATTTGGCTCCAATTTTTGACAGACCAGGTTATTCTCCCTCGACACCATTTTCTCCTTCCAATGCAGTCTGTGAATTTTAAAATGGCTTACGCTAAGCAATATAAGAACTGGTTCCTAGATTTTTCAATACCTTCTGTGTTTACACCATAGCAGTTTTTTATATTTTTGAGTTCCAATTGTAAGTTTCGGATTGTAAATGTTTGGTTTTTCTTGTTGTTTACAATGCTAAGTTTGTCTTGATCAGAAAGATATTTAGATTGTCCAGACCTTGATGGTTCAAATGCTGCAACTGTGTTTTTATCATTTCTAATTGATGTGCACACAAATTTCTTTGATGCATTTGCTTTTTTTCACTTTATTTAGTATACTAGGTCTGCCTGGTATTTTTTCAATTGGTAATATAATTGATGCAAACATAGCACCCTGTTGGTTTTTATGTTTTATTTTTTATATCTTTATAAGAAAAAAAAAAGTGAAAGCGTTCAAAAGTTAAAATGTTAAAGTTATCCATATGAAAAATATCTTCGTCCTGAAAGATTTGACGTAAATCCAAACTTTTTAACATTATATAAAGAATGGATTCACTGGTTTAAAACTCTCCAAAGCATCAATTTATCCTCAGAATCTATATATGATGAAAAGCTAAGAATGTTAATAAAGTTTGTATCACCAACTGTGTACATTCACTAACTTTGATACTGCAATTAAAGTGCTCACGTCATTGTACATTAAACCAGAAAACAAAATATTTACACCGTATCTATTAGCAATGCATAAAAAATAACCTGGCAAAATGCTAGATGAATTCGTCCAATGTCTTTGAACCCTTTCAAAATATTGCAACTTTAAAGGAGTAACAGCTCATATTTACTGTGATGAGTCTATCAGAGACACATCCATCACCAGCCTAATATCAAGTATAAAATGCCAGAGGCT